AATAAATCTTTTCAAAAATATTTTTTCTGAGCTAAATGTCAGTAAAAAGGATGAACTTCTGTATGGACAAAATTTAGCTTTAAAGAGCAGCTTTAAGAAAGAGAGCTGCGTGTATGCTTGTCTGAAAAAGAGACAGAGAAAAAGCAGTAGAATCAGAGCATGGATTGTGTTTAAGAAATGGAAAACCAAGTTCCAATGTATGCCCTGAGAGGACCAGTTTGATAGTCATCTCTTAGAGAAGTGATATGGGGGAGATAAATGAGATATAATACACACAACTTCTGTAATTCAGTGTGTCTATAGTGTCTGTATTCAAGGCACTCTGCCTGGTACTGTGGGATATGTGACTGCAACAGATGCATGACTATTGCCTTTTGGAAGAATATAGACCACTGTGCAGACAAAACAGAAATTCAATGTTATTAAATTGTGTAATCAGTGCCATAGAAAGATAAAAGGTGAGTTTAATGTTGGAAGAGGGAAAGATACTTTTGGCTGAGAAAGAAATAGCATTTGAGTTGATATATTAGTTATAAATCAGATAGCCTCTGAACTATTATTAGCTTAATAAAATACAGGTTTATTTCTTGACAAAATTGTTTAGACAGATTGTTCAATGGGCAGCCTTAGCTACTCTGACTCAGGAACCCAGGCTCCTTTTCTCCCTCTTCCCAGTCCATGATTTTTAGCATGATTTTACCTTTTCCTAGGGCTTCAGAATCTATATTAGTTATAAATCAGATAGCCTCTGAACTATTATTAGCTTAATAAAATACAGGTTTATTTCTTGACAAAATTGTTTAGACAGATTGTTCAATGGGCAGCCTTAGCTACTCTGACTCAGGAACCCAGGCTCCTTTTCTCCCTCTTCCCAGTCCATGATTTTTAGCATGATTTTACCTTTTCCTAGGGCTTCAGAATCTCTTGCTTCAAGCCAGTGTGTGGAGAATGACAGACTATGAGGGTCCTATATGAGGCTTTGAAGTCAAATAGGAAGCAACAAGCAACAGTTCTACTCACATTCCATTGGCTAAGACTCAGTTAGATGACTCTTCTAGAAGAAAGGAAACTGGGAAATATAGGCTAAGACAGATCCTAGGATCAAGGAAGAAGTTTTATATTAGGTCAGAGCCTGGAGTGTATTCACAGGACTGATGTTGTTCCAAAAAATCTTCATTTTCTAAAAGCGATCAGAATTTTATTGCCAAGAGACTGTAAAATGAAGGTAGCTGTTCCCCTCCAAGAGTGGAAAATAGGTCTTCCACCAGGCTGGTTGAACACAGAGGAATCTGCTTGGAGAAGTCTTGCTTTTTCCATAAATTGTTTACCAAGTTGACAAGTCTGGGTAATAAGCTGAAGGAGCATTTGACAGGATTTTGAACTGAGTGGGATATTTGAGGTAGTCGAGTGAGTGGGTTGGCAAGGAAGGTTGTTTTAATCATCTTGAGTTGAGGAGTTAGTTGGGTGTCTATTTAGGCAATCACTATAAAGGTGGAGGGGGATCAGGAGAGAGGTAGAGATTTTGGGAAACATACACAACAGTGCCTTTTTGCCTTCTTTTACCGCTCTCAGAATCTCAATAACAGAGAAACATCAGGCTGAATTTAACCAGTTGCATTAACCAGTTTCTCTGATAAAAAGGGCAATTCTTTAATGATGTTTTGGCTCATGTGCTTAATAACTAACCATATCTGCCGTAAAACAAATTGGGTATTCTGAGTGAGGTTTCAACCCAACCCTTCCCCTGACCCAAATAGTTATGTCAGGTACATATTTGCTTCATTGGCCAAATCCAGAGCAAAGTTGTAATTTTAGTGATTTAACCTGACTAAAGTTCATAGATTTAACTGAAACAAAGTTCCACTCAGAATTAGAAGCTATAAAACAATGATTAGGTTGTTAAAGAAAGGAAATGTATGCAAAGAAACTCCCCAATAATGCATAGCAGTTCTAGCATCAGCTATTCTGTATAAAACATTCAGAATAAGTATCATTTTGTGGGAAAAATTTAGGTTACAAAAACAAAATTAATGTTAGCAATTTAGTCAGCTTTCTTTCTTTTTAATTTTGAGACAAATAAATTACTAAGTTGCCTTGTTGGGTTTGCTTGAACTTGCAATCCTCATTGCTCAGCCTCCCAGAGTGCAGGGATTATAGGAATGTGCCACGCACCCAGCCCTAGATATAATCTTATGTGATGTTACTCTATGTATGAAAAGGGGCCTATTCAACTGTATAATGGTCTTAGGTAGAACAAGTGGAGAAGATAAAGCAATATATATGAATTTGGGTTTAGCTTACCTGCAACTCTACCTCTTTGGGAAGGTAACCCTGTCTTTTAAGACAACTGAATAGAATTGTAATTGAATAAGGAAAAGGAAAATGTATAATAAAATAAAAAAGACACAATCATATTTAAATCTATAAGTGATTTTCTAATATGTTTCTAATATTATAAAATATTTATAATGTGTTTGTATTCTTCTTAAGGTGTTTAAAGTATTTTTAATATCTGGTATATATTAGGAGTACAGACAATTAATTTTATAATCAATGCCCAATTGGAGGAAACCTGTTTAATAAATTAATGTTTCTTATTAGTTATATAATAAGCATCTAAATAGAAAAAAACTAATTGTTTAAAATTAATAAGATTGAGTCTAAATTATTTTAATTATTCTAATATCTATTGATGATTAAACATAACTGAGGTTAATTAACTGAATGGTATATCACCTGATGGTACAATGGTTCTTTTCCACCATTAGGAGTCAACCGTACCTTCCTCATCCTTTCTTGGGATGGGGTCCTTTCTTCCTTTCTAGATAGGAGCATTCTTGATCTGATTTATATAATTCCACCCATCTTTTCCCCTTTTATCTTGGTATTGGTTCCTTTTCTGCTATAAAAAAAAAGAGGCATTTTAAACCTTTTCAGAATTCTCTGAATTATTTAAGAGGGAGTCTGCATCAGAAATTATCACATAGTAATACAGTTGTTAATGTAGTTTGTATATGTGTGTTTGCATCTCTGAAAACTGCAATATTCTCTGGGATTTCCTAGAAGGAGAGGCTAAGCAAAGGGAAATGCTACAGTGGGGAACAAACTCCTGAGGTGTCTGCTGTGCTTCCACCAAGGGAGCACTAACTTGAGCAGTTCTTAGCCCGGCAGAGCTGGATGGGCAGGAGTGAGATAATGATGGGAGTTCTTGCAGGGTGTCTGAAAGTCAGCAGTGCTGCAAGGAGAGGACTCGACCAGAAAGACATCTGCTCAAGTATCAGCACAAACAACAGAAAGGAGCATGTTAAAAAAAATAAGAAAGAATTAATTTGAGACCATTTTATCACTTATGGAAAAATAACATACACAGAAGAGAATGAAGGGCCTGTGGTTTCCCCACTAATGGCAAAGACAGGGATACGATTGGGATAGGGTTCTTGTCTCTCATATCAATTTCCCTCCTCCTGAAGAGTTGGGGAGAGGGAGAGATTGGCTTCTATCTACAGACTTTCAGTGAGTCTCCTTGTTTTTAGTTTCTTGTGTTTTTCTTTCTTCTTTCTCTCTAGATTTTGATCTAGAACTTTCTTCACCATGTCTCACATCAACATGCTCTAGCACAGAGATTGGCAGACAATGGCTCATGGCCTGAATCTATTCAGCTACCTGTTCTTGTATAGCCTGAGAGCTATGAAAGGTTTTTACATTTTAAATTACATTTTGAAATTGAAAATAACACTATTTTCAATATTAAAATGTAATTTTTTGTAACATATTAAAATTATATGAAATTAAAAGTTCAGTGCCCTAAGCTAAAGTTTGTTGGCATGTCATTTTCATTTATGTGTGCCTTGTCCATGGCTGCTTTCATGTCACAATGACAGGATCGAGGAGTTATAAATAAGACTTATATAATACACTTTATTTTGCCAATTGACCCACAAAGCCTAAAAAATTTATTGCCTGACTTTACAGAAAAAGTTTGCCAACTGTGATGTGAGATTATGTGTTCTTCTGCTCTGCTCTGTCAGTAGTGCGCTTTGTGTCCCTTATTAATTTATCGAAATCACTTTATTGATGACTCCTTTTATTGTCATCATGAGTATAGTCTCTATTTATTCCTTTGCTAATATTTTGGCAAGCTAATACCATAACAAAAATGTAACTAGTATGCAATATGTCCTAACTCTCAACCTCTCTTTCACTTAATGTTCACAAGCAGAGAATAACTCAGATAATAGATAAGTCCTGGGCAGCTAAAGACAGTAAAGCTTAGGGAGTTAAGAGTTTCCCAATATCATCATCACACAGAAGGATGGTGACAGAAGGAGGTGTGACAAGATTCAAACCCAGGCAGTCTGTGCTACTATGCTTTGATTCCTGTGAGAAAGAGGAGGCTGACTTGTGTAGTTGGTCCCCTATCAGGGATCCATAAATAGCCAATGTAGTTTAGAACAGGTGAAACAGAAGAGAGGGAGAAAAAATGTGCCCAAAGTGGGGAAAGTTGGTATTATAATTTAATATTATTTTACATTTTATATTATTTTATTTGATATTCTCATTACTATTTTACATTACATTTCATATTTGTTTTTTAAATATCATTTTACAAGTGTAACAGGGGTGCAAATTATGCCTGACATTCTAATGTGAAGACAAAATTGCTTTATAGTGAATCTCTTTTATCTGTGGAGTAGCTGCAAAACAAATTGACTTGGTGTGTTATTGGGGCTATAAAAGACCAATGTGACATGAACAGTGTTTTTTTTTTTTTTTTTTTTGGTACAAGGTTTGCTCAGTCTCAGAGCTCCTTCTTTAACTTTTGCTTCTTTTCTTGTGTTAATATGTGCTGGGAAAGGGGTTCTGGGCTTGCACAATACTGGGGTGTATGCTTAATCTGACGTTCTAGCACAGCAGCAGTGCTCCTTGGTTGACAGTGTGCTGCTGGCTCTATTATAGATAGTCTGTGGAGATATCACTCTATGATATGTACTCTCTCTCAGGAGTGCTCTTGTTTGACCTGGCCTCACCTGGTTCCTGAATGACTGACTACATTGGTATTGTCCAGCCTCCTGCCCCAGGGTCTACCAAGCTTCTGCTGTGAGATAACCATCTACCCAGAAGGCTCCTTGGCAGGCCCACTGCGTCTCAGCTGAACACATTCAGGAACTGTGGAGGTCTGGCACTGAGCCTTGCAGCATTTTTTGGACTCACTGCACACCCAAGAAGTTGTGGCTGTATCCTAGGTTGTATTTGGGGGCAAGGGGAAAATTTGAAAGATATTCTTTCCAAGTCTTCTATAAATAGTAACTAGGAGACTTGATTTTTATTTTCAATTACATGACATACATCCCTCTAAGTTCAAGGAAGGAAAAGGGGGCGATACAAATGAGACAGTTTCCAATCTCTTTTATCCCCTTTTTTTCTAGGCTAGAAATACTTGGATGTCTTTTTTGTTTTTTCATTTTAAAATTTTTCCATCATTGTCCCTTCTCCTGTATGGAGGTATCCTGTATGTTGTTAGGGTATGAGACACTTTTCATATTAGTAAACATTGTATTCTAAGTCATTTAGCCTAAGTTGTTGAGAAGATAAAGAAAGGAGAAAAGACAGGTAAAACACTTTCCCAAGCTAATATCTTGGTCAGCAAGGTTTTATATCTTGCTATGTATCCAATTTATGCATAAAGTATACAACCTTTTTCTCTTTTCTTTGCATTTCTTAGAAACAACTTTAATTTTCCCACAGGCATATGATTGCTAATGTGAAATATAATGTAGTGTACTCAAGAAGGGAGAACAAAACACATTGGTAAAATTTGGAATAATTACTTGTACTACCACATTTTACCAGCTTTTACATAGACCCTTTTCTGGGTGGTCAACCCTTGTTTATGATTCTCTGAAACTGGTATCTCTTGATATTTCTTTTCTTGGCTCATGAGAGCTCTTTTTCTAGGGATTTTAAAAGGATTTAGAAGGGAGCTCAAGCTGTTGTGTAAGCAGAATAATCTCTACTCTTTAAAATACTACTTTTACAATACTTTTTTGGGGGATCCAATCTATGTAGTGTTTATGCGGTGCCCATGCAAGGTCCATGTGCCCTTGAGCCAGTGGCCTACTTCATTCTCTAGGGAGGTCTCAGACAGTCAAAGGACACCTGGCAGATGTTTTTGTGAGATCTCTGTAGAGTTGTGACTCAGCAGACCTCATTTCAAGTTTCATGACTCCATTTTGGTGCTCCTGTCTGGGATAGTTAGTTGACTGTGTCAACTTGAGACAAAATACCCAACTAAACTGGATTAGCATAGTTCTAGGTGTGGCTAAGGGAATGCAACCAATGGGCTTTCTGCCTAAATGGTATAAAGTGGAAATGAAGAATGAAGTTTCGTTTCTCTTTTCTGCAGAGGCACGCCAGTCTTCACCTTTACTTTGGATTTCATCTCCTGGCTTTCAGTACTAACTCTTTAGCTTCCAGCATAGACCCTTCAGCCTTCTGGTGCAGACTATTCAGCCTTCCATCCCAAACCCTTCAACTGCCTGATATGGACTTGCACAGGACACTAAAGTGAGCTTCAAACCTTCAACTGGATCCTTTAGATCTCCAGTGCATGGACAGACCTTTTTCGCTCTTCCACATCTGACTCTGTAGGCAGTCTTGTAAGTCAATCTTATAAATTCTTATGTTTGTATATCTTGCATTATGTCTGTTTTTCTAATAAGCACTGACTGATACATTATCCTTACTGCCTAATAGAATTCTGACTCCTACCTCACTAATCCTGTTGCATTTGTTGCATTCTTTCCTTTGAAGAGGTTACCCTAACTGCCATTAGGGAAAAGGGATGAAAAACTGCTCTGGTTGCTTTGAGCTGTACAGTGGCAGTGAGAAGCAATCAGCAGTCAGGGGCATCCTCCAGAGGCTTGTTTATAGCATGTGATAGAAGTCAGGTGAAAGCTCCATGCCTGGTTTCATCTGCATGACCACCTGAAGTTTAATAGTCTCTTGGTGAAAGAAAATAAAGTGAAAAAGGAGATTGAATAAACAGGGTCCATACATTCAAAAGAATGTCAAGAGTGTCAATACTCACTTAAGGGTCCTATAAGAGTTCAGGGGTAGCCCTACAGGGATTTAAAGAGGGACCCTGGTCAAGTCTCTTGGTTAAGGTTGTTATTGAAATTTTCACATATCTGGATGAGATGTTTAAGTTTGGCAAGGCTAGTCTTCACCTTTTTAGAGTCCTTTATCCAGAAGCAGTGGGCTTTATTAAGCATACTACAAGTCCCACACATCTCTGTGGCAGGAAACTCTAGTGCTCTCCTATTGTGTAAGGCAACCTAACCCAATGAATTGAGGCTTTTTTTGTTGAGACTCAATAGCTTTTACAACACTTTCCAAGATTGTTGAGGTGCCACTGATAGGTTTCCAATAGAGGCATGTCTGTTAGCCAAAATAATTCATGAAGAATCTCCCATCCGAGATGCAGCTGCTTAAAGACAGGGTTGTCCTAGGGAGATTTAACTGGAACTCCTTAAGAGACCTTTTACACATAGACTGGGAGAGGGTGCCCTAGGAAGGAGCCTAGATTAGAGATATATTTAGAAATTGGTAAGATAGAATGGTTAAATAATCAGATATGTGGGAGGGCATTGGCAAGGATATGTTTTTCCCTCCCTGAGAAAAACAGAGTATGATACAAGAGTTTCCAAGAAAGAAAATAGAGGCCATTTCCTGTGAAGGAGAAAAGGTCTTTTTGCCCTGTAGCTAGACAAACTTAAAGGTAGATTATAAGCATATGGCAGTGGGAAAGATGCTGGGGTCCCAGGGTGACCTGTGGAGGAAGGTCTGGTTCCAGAAAACCAGTTGTTTATGCACATAAAGGCATCTTTAATGTTGTGACCATGGGGGACTTGACATGCAACATTCTGGATAATGAAAGTGAAAAGAGAAAACTCAGAGAGAAGTTAATGTCCTGTCTCATTAAGTACAAGGCTCAAACATTGGGAGAGCCATCCCAAACCTGGGGATAATTTCTGACATTAAGGTCTTTATACCTCTATAGCCTCCTAAATCTTACATGGGAAGATATGCATGGTGTCTTCCACCTAATTGGTGAAAATGTCTACCTGTACTAAGAAATACCTACTCTTGGGCATATCAGTGAAATCTATCTGCTAATCTAAGTACTCATTTCAAAGTATCTCCCCTTTTGTTGGTTGCCAGTGTAAAATCCTTTTATTTGGAGAGTTATTCTGTTGGCAATCTTGCAATTCTCTTATCTGGAAGCAGTCTAGCAGCTCCCCACTCAGGATCTGTTACTGTCCCATAATTAATGACCTCCCTCTGGTACCGATTAGGTAGACAGTCATTTGTGTAAATGAAGTTTTATAAACCCTGAGGAACTATATGCTCTGTAAACAACCATGTTCTGTAAACAAAGTTTATGACATTCTGTTCCCATATGATTCATAAGACACTGTTTTCTTGCAAGGCTAAATTACTAAACTCTCTGCCCTTGTCTTGTTCCAGTAAACCCACTTACTGCATCACTAGAAAGACCACATCCCCTCTACTAAATGTATAAAAACATTCCTTTGTTGAAGTTTCCTTTTGTTCAATTGCTCAGACTTTTGGACATGAGTTCAACTGAGTCAAGGTGCACCAATAAATTCTCCTGATTTCCATTTGGTGTCTCTTGTCTTTTTGGAATTCTGCAACACACAAGCTGGCATATTGCTTGTTGAAGCCCCTTTCCTTTAAATAGCCTCTGAGTCATTTGGTACATTTTTTCTTTTCCTAAGTGAAAGGCTTGATGGAGAGTTTGAAGGATTTTCTATGGATTGACTGCAGGTATGAGCACTTCCCTCTCCACCCTCCATCTAGAACCATCCGGAGGTGAAGAGCTGATATCCTTCTGGCTGGACCCACTTTGTCTCTGCTTTGTTTTAAGCAGGCTTGCAATTTCCCAGAGGATTTTCCTAGAGTAAGGGTACCTCTGTAGACTCTAGATGGAAGGTTCTTGAGTTGAAGCTTTGGCTATTTGATCAGTTAAATGGTTCCCTTGAGTGATCTCATTTGTTCCCTTCTGGAAGCCTTGGCAATGTATGACTGTCACCTTAGATGGGAGGTAGACTGAAGACAGGATGTTATTAATCTCTCTGTGGTAGCATACCTGTCAACTGACAGAAACTACCTTTCTCTTTCCATATAGCTATATGGCCATGCAGTACAGGAAAACATATTTTTGAGTATGGATAGATGTTGACTCTGTCTTTCCCTTAATAAGAACTATACATTCTACAACCTGGGCACTGGTTCACGGAGCAAGAGGGGAGTTTTCACTGATGGCCTGTAAAATCCCCACTGCATATCTCACTCTTTATATTAGAAAAATAAATATATATATTTTAAACCAGGGATTGATTCTCTAAATTGATAGTGATATATATAATTTTTTTTTAAACCAGGGATTGAACTTGGCCCTTTGTGATTATGAGACAGGTGGTGGAACCACTGAGCCAAATCCCTGGCCCCTCTGAAGAGATATATTTACGATCCTCTCTAGCAGCATATGTTTGGAGGAACAATTGTTCACCATAATGGTCTAACAGGCCTCATTCATCTGAAAGATTTAGAGAAGAGAAAATCTTAATTTGGAGGTCTGGCCCTTCCTTGATATTGAGAAGATGGCTATCTGAGAGCCATAGACTTCTTTTGAGGTGAGGATTCTAGCTACTTTATAGGGAGTAAAGACCATTAAATCTTTCCCCAGTGTTAGTTCGGAGGCCTCTGGTACCATGATGGTCACAGCAGCAATTACCCATAGGAAAGCTGGCCATTCCTCACTACCACATCTACTATATCTAGCTTCCACCTGAGATATCCCACAGGTGTTGTCCTCAACTTCAATCTTGGGTCAAAAACTCCCAGGGCCACTCCATTTCTTTTAGAAATGTATACATTAAAATGCCTTACTGGGAAATTCAATATTGGTGATTAGAGAAGGGATGTTTGAGTTTCTTAAAGACCAGTTGGACCTCAGGTTTTCTTATTAGGGTGTGAATATTTATTGCATGAGTC